CAAGGGGAAAGCTGTGGATCTCCCTCAGAGTAACAACAGTGAAAGCAGGGAAAACAGGTTCGTAAGAATGCGCGATTCGGTAGAAGCGCTGGCGAAGGAAAATATACGTATCGATCCGCAAAATTCTGGGGGAATGCACGACAGAGAACTAGATGGTAATCGGTTGAGTACACACACTGACGAATTGTGCATTCTCTCAGGTCTCGGATTCTCCACATTTGTAAATCCGCGACTAAAAAGAACTAGAAAGAATGCACGATTCATTTGTATGTGACCACGGCTTCATCCCTGGAAGAGATGGCCGTTGGCGACCACGACCAACTCCTTAGCAAGTCAAAGATTTCACTAGTTTTGCATAAATGACAGAGCTATAGTGCAAATGAAACGGGAGCAGTGAACAACCTTAACATTTTTTTTCGCCGCTCCGAAAAATTTCTCTCAAGGCCAAATACGACTTTCTCTCCAACGACTAAGTATGAGCCTCTCCGATGGGATTCTCCCAACCAGGCTCTGCTTTGATTTCATTTCCCTATGAGCGCGTGTTGTAAAGATTATCACCTCAAGTTCATGGAAGATACTTCATGGACTCCGGATCCACATCACTAATAGCGTTGTGCTGTATTTCGCTCCGTTTTGATGGTTTTTCATTCACACATCAGACTGCTAATCGATGAGAGAAGATTGCGTGTAGCAGAAGTGGAATGTTGTAATGTGAGCGCGAAAGAAGTTGCGAATTGGTAAGCAGAGAGCGTGGTACGAACTTGCGAAAACGTAGCTGCAGAGGATATGGTGGGTTGAAGGGGTAGTTTCGTGGAGGTGTTTCAGTTGCGAGGCCGAGATGACTTAGTGGCAAGTGGTCCTGCTTACAACGCGTACAGTCCGGCCATCTAGTCCCTGGTCCCACAAACGTTCTTCCCATCTCGGGTAGGTGAAATGTAACGGATACTTCTCTGAGGGTTTTTTGTACCACGAAAATCGCCTATTAGTTGCCTGCCTCACGATTGTGAATCGCTTTTGAATGAAGATAGAACGTATGGCGCATCCCAAAAATGGATTCGGCAACGCAGGGAGCTGCCGATGCTTTAAGATTTGTCCCAATTACAGGTTTATGTCCGTTTCGTCAGTGTCGTTCAACACAGACGTCAACATCAGATATGAGAGACTATCAATCGAGTACGCAAAGGTGAGTTGGTCAGAATTTGAAAGTTGGTAATTTGTTTCCTAAGAGGGGAACCACTCACCCGCCCCTCTGTATCCCTTCCTTGAAGGATCACTCTCAGAGTGCAGACAACCAGATTGCGAAGGGATAGCCGTGTAAAAAAGACATGTCTCTACTTAGCTGAAGCTTTGATTAGCGAAAGGGATACAGAAATTGTGGACAGTGTTCCTCCCCCCCCCTACTACGTTAGCGCCGCCATAATTACTAGTATTGTTTTTCCAATGAAAAAAATCGTCCTAATTTCACTGGTAATCCTGTTGGGCTTTTGCAATAAATTTTGGGCCCATTTTTGAAGAAATTATTACTCTGGATAGAATTTATTCAGCTGCGATCTCATGTGAAAGTGCTCAGCGAAGGAGTGATCTCCGAAAGGAAGAAGAACGATAGCTTGAACGTGAGTTGCAGTGGTACTTGTATACTCTCATTGAAGTTTTCCATAGTTGACTTAATTTTGATGTCACAGGAAACCATAAGAGAACTGGAAGTACAGCTGCGAAAAGTCGAGGCTGAAAATGAGAGTCTCACGTTCCGAAACGATCAGTTGGTTAAACGCGTGGAGAGTCTCCAAGATGAATTGGACGCTTTAGTTCATGGAAAAGCAGGAACAATCAAGGTACTCTGCTAGTAAGCAAGAATGTTTCTTCTTGATGCTCACTGAGAAAACTTCAGAAAGGAAAGTTCCCAAAGAAATCGAAGGACACTAAAGAGCTACTCAATGAACTGGGAACGCTAGAAGGTCGCGTGGCTATTCTGGAAGAAGAGCTGCAAAACAAAATACGGCAAAACATGGAATTGACCAGTCAGGTTCGATTATTATAATTATTTATCCTATACAAGCTTATGTACACCATTTTTTTTCTTGCTCTGGTCTTGTCTCTCTCAGCTCTTGAGGTACGTCCATATTCTGCAGTAGTGTTTGGAACGTCTGTCAGCTTTTTGAAGGTAGCGTTCAGACCTCGCGGCGCAATCGTACGCTTGCGCGATCGACGCTGTCGAAAGCATGCGCATCGATCGCGTCGAACGCGCGACCGAAACGCTGCCGTCGCGAAGTCTGCACGCTGTCTTAGGGCGACTAGTAAAGTATAGCTATCGGTCCAGCTTTTGAGCATCCGCCAGCGCTTTGAGCGTCTACCAGCGTTTTCAGCGACAGCCGTATTTATACTTTCTTGGTCGCTCAAAACGTTGACGCTCAACAGGCCGGCGGACGCTCACAACAAGGGAGCGGTACCCACACTATACTGGTCGCTCAGAACACCAAGGAACGCACAGCACGCTGTCGCAAAGTGTGAACGCACTCTTAAGTTCAGCAGGGCAACAGCCAAGTGTGCAGTGTACTGCTGTAGTTGGTAATAATAGTAGTTCTAGAGGGAGAACCATAAGCTTAAAGTACAGTTTGGTGAGTGAGTTTAGTTCAGTGAGACGCTTAAGTAAAAATGTCATCAGTAATAAAATAAAATACTTTTTTTTGTGGAACATAGAACACCAGTGCCGAATTTTTGAAATGTTACAAGCGACCATGTAATATTTTTTTCAGATGTGCGACCTTGAGCAAAAGCATACCGAAGAATTATCTTCCCTATCGAACGACTTTGCTCGCAAACTCGAGCAGGCTGAAGCTCGCCGGTTCGATTCTGATAGAAGAATAGAGCACAGACCAGAGAGACCCGTGAAGTCGGTGAAACCGCTAGAACAGTCGATGGAGGTTCGTTGACCTTGCTATTTGGACTTGCTCCCTTCTCATGCGCATATTTTTCCTTTTCCAGCTTAACAGCGTCCTGTCTCAAACTCCATCGCCGCAGCCTCCACCGATCAACGAGGCTTACCTCCAAGTAGCAGAATCGGTTAGAAACACTCTGCAAGGTATGCTCTTTCTAGTTTTGTTGTATGTTTGTGAGGAAGTTCAAGTTAGAAAACTTACATTTTGCCTGATTTTGATAATTTACATTGTATCGTGCAGGTCTATCAACGCTGTTCGAACTTCTCTATCAGCGTACGCAGATATATCCATTCGATTCTTCTCTGGAACCTCTTCCTAATCACGTAAAGAAGGTGAGTTAACAGGGGAGTGACTTGATATTTATCGCAGTAACGCCATAAATTTATAGTTGTTGTCCGAACTAGCTCAATGTTCGCAGTTGCTTACAGCACCGATTGAAGCTGTTCAGCAGTGTATTCTGAAAGCTGAGTTTGAGGTGGTGATTACTCCTTTCTTTGCTTTTTTTCTGTGTTGCTCGGTTTGGAAGGGGCATTTCACAATTTCGCTAGTTCATTTTCTTAGCTCGTGTTAACTTTGATCAGACCTGTAAACTCGTATGAAAGTGCGAAATTGTTTGAGTGGTCCATTCTGGTCACAGCAGCTGACAGGCTTGACAAGGGGGCTTGGCCGTTTTTTATTGAGTACCATCAGCTGCCCCCTGTAAGCCAAACTGCGCCGTTTTGCCATAAATCAAAATCTTTTTTGTCACCTTATATTGTTACATTATTTATTTTTAACTAGATATTTTCAACTAGATAATAGGCACGAGTGTGGCGTGGATATCCCGCCTATACTTTAAAAATGTGACAGTCGTTATCACTGAAGGCAGTGGAGGTGCGTCAACGGTGCGTGGGTTTTAGCGCGGCGTGAGCGGTTTTTTATCTACCTTTCAACTGTGAGTGTTCAATGATGGATGAGAATGGGACAGACGCGCGCTGCGCCAGAGCCCATGCTTCACTGAAACGACCCTAGTGACTTCAGTAGTAACGACAGTACGCATCTATTCCTTTTTGTCGATTCTCTGATTCCTCACGGTCGCGTATTGTGAATAATGCCTCTAATCGGTGGCAAGAGATCATTGGGAATTGATCGAACCACCAGCGAATCGCGCCATTTCCCAAATCGCGGATTCTTCGGACCCAGACATGTTAGCAGGCAGCTTTTGGAACACTTTGCCGAATGGCAGATGCTTCTACGTCAGCGTATGAACGAGACGTTCCAGTAGTTCCAAGAGAAGGAACTTCCTTCGGCGGTTCGAAGGAACTTCCTTCGGCGGTTCGGCTTGGGAGGCACCAAATGGGTCAGTTATACCTTTTCCTAACCTCACACGAGCGTTCAGGTCACACCAGAGTGTAACATGCTATCGCGTCCAGACTTCGCAATCTGATCGCTCAAGCGGTTGGATCGCGCGATCGGATCGCGAAGTCTGACCGCGGTCTGGCAGAGACTAGCAAAATAACCAGCGAAAGTGCAAAATGCCCCTCCCAATCGACCAACGCCGAAATGTCTTATCCTGCTCGATATGTGAAATTATGAAGCTCTCTCAACAAACGATCTGGGTGTCTATAGCGAGATTTCTTTGACCCTTCCTCTCCTTAGAGAATCAGCTATGAAATAGAATATTTCGGCTCGTTTAATTCGAATACCATATAAGTATAAGAAATTTCCTGTATGAGAATATATAGCATGTGTACTGCATTTTTTAATAAGATAAGCAAGACAATCTTTAGTGAATTCCTATTGTTTGCTTCAGATGTCGACAGATGTTCCTCAGTTACACACTTCCCTCAAAGTTGTAGTACGCCATTGTAAGGTTATGATGCCTGAGCTACTGAAACGACTTGCTGCTGAAGAGAACAAGGTAATTTTCGGTGGAATCCTGTGTTATTGTGGGTAGCATACACTCAGTATACAGTGCTCATCATTACGGACTGTCGGGGCGTTGCAATGTGACGCGACAGCGGCTGCGGCTCGGTGACGGCGAATCAGCTGATTTCCATGGAATTCGGCTGCGAATTCCCACTTTTTCAACTCTTCAAGCTTCGAAAGTGGAAGGTGAGTTATTTTGAACAATTTTAAATTGTACTGACTCTGAATGAATCTGAAAGAATGCAAGCCATTTGAATAAATGCCTGAAATAAGGCAAAATACAAGGAAAAGAGCATAATAATCGACATAAAAATAAAGGAAATCAGAGCCAGTACAATTCAAAATTGTTCAAATAACTCACCTTCCACTTTAGAAGCTTGAAGAGCTGAAAAAGTGGGAATTTGCAGCCGAATTCCATCGAAATCAGCTGATTCGCCGTCACCGAGCCGCAGCCGCTGTCGCGTCACAGTGCAGCGCGGCTGTGCCGCCCCGACAGTCCGTAATGATGAGGACTGTATCTCTAAACCAGCTGCTTGTTTTCTGAAGTGTAGTAGAGCATGTTCACAGATCACATGGTGCGATTCACAGTTAGAAGAGTTGAACAATGCTTGGTGTGCGGCCATGGGTCGTCTCTTGATGGTTATGGATACGATTTGTACGGCACTGGCCTTGGTTACATCATCGGCTGATAACGCTGGAAAGAAGCTATGTGAGGCGCTGGAGGAGGGAAATAATATCATCAGGGGTGCGTATGTTTCCATTTTTTTGGTTAGTTTAGTAGACGCTTGACGATGGCGCAACATGTGCGGTTTCTGCTACATTAGGTCAGATCACACTCTTGATCTCAGAAAATCCTGGAAATGGTTGAATGGTAATCATTTGGTAATTAACTGGGCATATTTCCAGAGCTGGATAAAACTTTTGCGACGAGATGGGCAGTCGAATCACGTTTCCCGACGGCTACTAAACGAATTTGTTGTATCGGCACGGCCATATCTCATTGTCTATCACGATTGGTGACAGAAATGAGCAAACTAACAGCAAGAGTCCAAGCAATCAATGGATTGGTTAGTTCTCGTAAATCAGCGGTCTGTGTGTCGTGGGCACCTGCAAACGACATAGTTTTTCTGACATAAGTGTCCACAAGCACGAGCTATTTCCTTAGACTGGGAGTAATAGGTTCACGCTGTGATAAACAGAGCGGACCCAAGGAATTTTATGACCCAATTTTCAGTACGGCAACTGATTAGATGACGCTACCTGCCTCTTATCTGCTTGAACTCGTATTCCATTTATAGTTATGCGAGGGGGTGTGTTATGATAAGGAGTTTTCTTCAAAGCCATAAATGATACGAACACGTCTTGAGAAGTGGGATTCTTCCGAATGCGGAGCTCGTGAGCAGGTCTGGAGCCGTTGAAAGGTGAGCTCCCCACCAGGAGACTACCCTGTCCGTCGAATTTCCCTCTGGTACGATACCCGGACCTTGGCCCTCAAAGAGACCTAAATTAACGACCACACGCTTGCAGGTTGACAATTGCACGTACAGTATTGTGCTTGGCTCGTGTTTTTAACACTCCATTAGTGGCAGACCTCGGACTGCTGATACGCTCTCTTTCTGTGCTGTGAGATGCTCATAGTATTGCTTTATATAGCTAGAAAGCGCTGAAAAAGGAGATGCACACCAGTACGTGCAGTTCGTTCACCAGACAGTTACAATCCGTTTGACGACGACTGTGATACCGAAACCGTAGAAGAGGACAGGGAACTGGCTCAGTCCGAGAAACCCGTGACTCACAGTATAGGTAATAGGATATTTTGTGGAAGTTTTGTGATTTTCATCTTTATTCCTGTTACCCGACTTATGTAATAGATTGAATGGCCAGTATTCGTACGTTTTCATAGGAGTTGATACTTCTGATCTTGTGGGTGGGATCGTGGAATCGCTTGATACGTCATATGTTCCGCCGAATAGCTCGAGTGCTTCGATCAGTTCGAAATCAGAAAGCGTTTCGGATCAAATCATGGTAAGGTTTCATTTGACTACTTGTTTGCTACTTTGTTTTTTTTTCATCAGAACCTTGCGAGAGATTCGCAATTTCTTTGCAGTCATAGGGGAGGGGCGGAGGGGGGGGGAAGAGGCAGAAATGATTCGTCCGCACTTTTTTGCTTCCCAAATTTTGTAATATTCTGTGGACGCTTTTCAGGTGGACTGTTTGAAAACACGTGTCAGCGCTCTGGAATCGGAACGAGAAGGTCATTTAGTTGATTTATCGCTGCTACGCCGGAAACTTGCTATGCTGGGAGTGAAGGAAGTAGAGTGAGTTATACTGTTATCTCTTCAGGGCGCAAGAGCGATCTCTTTGGAAACGAAATTCTCAATTGGGCATTTGTCCTATCCCAGTAAGTTGGCTCCTTTTAGAGACGACAGTCATGCAGAGGTGGAAATGTTGAAGCAAGTTAATCGCGAACGCTTACGGGCGGTAGCAGACGACCTACAGAAGACTCAGTGTGCTGCCAATTACTACAAAGGAGAAGTATGGTATTATAAAGCTTCTAACTGATTCGCCAAGGTTTTTTTCTCGAGCGGCGGTCATAAACTCTGACCTGTTTATTTTGCGCTGGTATAGTGACAAGTGGAAGGATAGTGTAATCCCTATCTCGCCCATAAATGCTGCAGAAAGAGGCATACAGCAGCTATGAGCTCCCACTGTTCTGGCATCAGCTTTTACGATCTTGTCAGAAGGGGCGTGTCAGGCGGCATGGGTCTGGCGCGGCGCTAAACCCGTTTGCCACCAGCTGTTTAAGCGAGGATTGCATCATATCGATCTATCTGTCGTTTTCTACCAATTGTTGTCGCTTATCCGCTTCAGCAGCTGGTGAAGAACGGTTTGGCGCCGCTCTAAGCGCACCCCGTCTGACACGCCTCTTCATAAGCAGATAAGACTGGACGGTTTTTGGCACGTTCTGTGCAGTGCAGCACGGTAGATTTGCTAATAATAATAGTTATTAGCAAATCATACCGTGCTGCACTGCACAGAATAATAGTTGTGCAGGTACTATTGTAACTGGAATATTGGCCATATATGACCCCTCTTCGACCACCATGTTCCGCTTCTTGATTGGATTATCCCAACACACGAGACGGTTGCCACAATTTCGTGCACTCTCTCTCTGTCGCCATAGCGTAAACAGAAGCAAATTATAGAAGGCCATTTGGAGGCAGAGGGAAAGCTTCTGACAAAGCGGAAAGGGTGTTTAGCTTTGCTTTTTCCACAAGGAGCACACCGCCGTCTCAGGCG